CTCCTCACATATTTTGATTAATTTTGTTTCAATCGTATCAAGAAATTAACAAAGAAACAAACAATTCAATAACATTTTAATGTGCCACGAATGCATAAGAAATCTACTGTACATGTTACAAGGAAATAAAATAAATTTCTTTGCGTATATACTATTGAATCATTTTTCACCCATCCACGTTTGTTTTCTTTCATTTTAATGCTACAACGTGTCCTCCGAACTGTTTCATTTTTCTGTTTGCGTTTAATCTATAAAAAATTTGATAGACTTAATAAAACAATTACTTGAAGGAAATAACCAATCGAAAAACGATTATTACGAAATGGCGGGTTTTTAATTCTAAATTTATTGCAATAGCTGCAACTAACAGTGAGTTAGACAAATTGTACTATATTTTACATATTCTAACCTGTGAAATGCGTATTGCGTTATATGATTTAATAGCTACAGGTTGTTTGAAAGCTATTATAAAGATAACAATTCAGTGTTATTCCAGTATTATATAATAAAAATAAAATTTTATATAAGAAATATGAACGACTTAAATCCATTTAAGCGTAAAAAAGTTCTCGATTTTTTAAAAAAATTTGAAGAAAACAGAAAAAATGTAAGAAAATTTTTCTTTTTGAGGAAATTGATAAACCACACGTTTTTGGATATTTTATTGCTTCTTAATATATTTTTAGACATCTGAATCCATTATGACATTCAATTTTAATAAAAAACGTATTCGTCGTTTAAATAAATTAAATGATGTTAAAGAAAACTGTAAAGGTATTTTATACTGGATGTTACGTGATTTTAGGATACAAGGTACATATTTAATATATAGTTTTACTGTAACTCATGCAGTATTGATAAAATTTGATATTTTCAGATAATTGGGCTTTGCTTTTTGCCCAAAAGACTGCTTTAAAAAATAATGTAGCTCTTCATGTATGTTTTTGCATAATGCCAAGTTTCTTAAATGCTTCTATAAGATATTATAAATTTCTTCTGAAAGGATTATTAGAAATTGAAAAAGAATGTAAACAATTAAAGATAAATTTTCATCTTTTGTACGGCGAACCAAATATGAGTATTCTTAAATTTGTAAAAATGTATAATATGGGAGCTGTGATTGTGGACTTTTATCCATTGAAGTTACCTATGTACTGGGTTGATAATGTACAAAAGAATCTTCCAAAAGATATTCCTATTTGCCAAGTAAACACAATTTTAGTTAGTAATACAATTTATAAATAATCTTTTGAAAAATTGATATATATTTTTAAAGGCAGATGCTCATAATATTGTACCCTGTTGGCATGCATCATCAAAGCAAGAATTTGCTGCTAAAACTATAAGAAATAAAATAAATGTAAAACTAGAGGAATTTTTAACAGAATTTCCTCCTGTTATTGAGCATCCATATTTAACAAAAGAAAATTTTGAAAGAAATAATTGGGATATAGCTTTGCAAGATGTAGATGCAGATAAGTCAGTGAATGAAATTACATGGGCTGAACCAGGATATATAGGTGGTATTAAGGAACTAGAAAATTTTATACAGAATCGTTTACAAAAATATGGAGATGAACGTAATAATCCTTTATCAAATGTCACTAGTAATTTGTCACCTTGGTTTCATTTCGGTATGATCTCAGTACAACGATGTATTTTGGAAATAAAAGAATATAAAAGATTGTATAAAAAGTCAGTTGAATCCTTCATGGAGGAAGCTATCATTAGAAGAGAACTCAGTGATAATTTTTGTTTCTATAATGAAAAGTATGATCTTGTTGAAGGTGCCTATCCTTGGGCTATAGAAACATTAAATAAACATAGGTAATTTATTTTATTTATTATAAGTTGTGTATATTAATTATTAATAGTTGATTACATTTAGGAAGGATAAACGAAAATATGTATATTCTTTAAGTCAATTAGAAAATTTTAAAACTCACGATGATCTATGGAATGCATGTCAAAATCAAATGGTAACAGTTGGAAAGATGCATGCATTTTTAAGAATGTATTGGGCAAAAAAAATATTAGAATGGACTGAAACACCCGAGATTGCATTAGAATGGGCTAATTACTTAAATAATAAATACAGCATAGATGGTTGTGACCCTAATGGTTATGTAGGTCAGTTCTCTGTCCCAGTTTATACTTGTGTATGAATATTTGTATTTTATATGAGATAATACATTGTATTTGTTTTTGTAGGTTGTATGTGGTCTATCTGTGGTATCCATGATCATGGTTGGTCAGAAAGAGATATATTTGGAAAAATAAGATACATGAATTATGAGGGATGTAAACGGAAATTTAATGTTGCCGAATTTGTTAGAAAATGGGGAAAGAAGGAAGATAATTAATTTATAAAGGCATAGCTATTAATTACAATTATATAGCTATTAATTATTTATTAAAATTTATCCACTTACTCAACCTTAGAAAAATATATATTTTAGAAAACAAAATGTATAGGTTGTATGAATATATAGTTTTTAATTGTCAATATTTACCTACATTTTATATCATTGCATAATAATGAAAGTGAAGTAGGAACTGCATCTAACGAAGTCAAAGAAAGCGCAGCAGCTTTTAGAGCTAAGGAAAGACAACTAGTTTCATCTAGATTTTTATGAATTCCGTAAATTATTCCTGCAGTGAGGCAATCACCACAACCGTTCACATTGAATGTTTCATTTGGATCATCAGAAATAAAAAATAAAGGAGGATATAAGCGAGATGTGATCGTAGTGTGAGCAACCAATCTTCCTTCTTTATCATAAAAGGGATCATTTCCTAAGGCTTTACGAGCGACCTATAAAGAGTAATGTCAATTATTTAATTCTATATTTATATTTTTCAGATTTATTTCAATTGTTAAATATTTACCAATACTCCATGTGATCCTAATGTACTTATAACCACTGGGATAAATTCGGCTATCTGCTCTGCAATTGCTTTCACTTCTTCTAAATCCATAAATAATTTGTTGTCAGGTACTGGTATGCCAAGATATTTCCCGATAACTGACAGTTCATTTCTATTTGGTGATATAAAATGCAAAACATTTTGCCACTGTGATTTTGCTTCAAATACTTTTGTTGCCTTGTTCACATCTGTAGGTTCGTACCAAACTAAAAGAATAAATTTTATTTTATTACATTTTAATTTGAATGTATAAATATAATTATATTTTATGTTAATAAAAAAATGTTTAAAATGTATAAAAAAGTAAAAAAGCTGCAAATATATTTTAAATTTTATGTTTATAAGAATGTTTTTAAAGAAATGTTTATACAAAATATTTTTTATTATTTTCAATTTAATAAAAATTTTTAATATATAACAAAATATCTTAATGCATTGAATACAACTTTTATTGCAATTATTTCATTTCAGTTAATAACAAATGAAAAGATTAAAGTTAAAGCTATTTAAATAATGGCGCTAAAAGTAAATGCATTCCTTGCAACATGGAGCGCTGCTAAAGCGCTAAAAATTCTTCATCTGAATAGACATCTATTAATCACGTATTTCATTCAAAATAGTATGTGTGCAAGTTAATTATATGTTGCAACCGAAAGAAAGAAACACTTTGCAACGCATAATTAATAATAAATTAGAAACTGTTAATTAAGAATTAAAACAGTTGCCCAGAATGGGTAAAACTCGAAATGGAAAGGCTGCTGTTATATGCACAGTACTGGCATTCGTTTTTATTATAATTGCATTCACCACACCCAATTGGCTCGAAACAGACGGAAAATTGGAAAATCCAAAATTTATCAGAATTGGTAATTTGATTTATAATGTTTTCATTCTAATAAGAAAAATGTCATTTAAATGTTACATCACTTATCGCCAATATAACATGTATTATTATTATAGGTTTATGGCAAGTGTGTTTTCAAGGATTTGAAGATCCACATCACTTGTATGATACTAAATTTTATGGTTGTTGGTGGGTGTTTGAAGAAGAATATTACATTATACATGACATACTCCTGCCAGATTTTTTTGTTGCAACACAATTCTTTTTTACTTTGTGTCTGACTTTATTATTAATAGGAGGTTTCTTAACTGCATTGTATATGTGTTGCTCACAGCGTCATGATAAATATCAGTTACTGTTATGGACAACTGGTGGAAATTTGTTATTAGGTGGAATATGTGGCATTATTGCTGTTATAATATTTGGTGCACGAGGCGATGGTAGAGATTGGATGCCTAATTGGGAACACAATGATATTAGTTGGTCTTATGCATTAGCTGTAATTGGTAGTTTTATTTTAGTTATAGCAGGTACATTGTTTTTGATTGAAGGCCGCAGACACAAAAAGAAACAAGAAAGAATATTACACGAAGAACAAAAGACACATACTACTATTTAAGTTGAACATAGCCTTTATCAGTAAAGAAAATGACTATATGATAAATTATCCACAATATTGAAGATCTGAATAGGAGATCTAAATTTAGACATTTTTTTGTATGTTCTGCACAAACTTTTTGAAGATTTTTATATATCTTAATATTTATATTTATTATCTCTAAAAGTATCGCTCATTTATGAACAAAATACATTATCTTTTATATTTTTTATATACTTTTGTGAAAATTTGAAGGTAGCAATGTCAAAGAAAATATTTTATATATTTTGTAATGAAAAGTTTCGTATATAAGTGCATTTATTGTTTTATAAACTAATTCGCGTATTAAATTTGCTAACGAATCCGTCCATAGAAAAGACTAAGAGTTTATGAAAAGACTAAGAGTCTATAGAAATAAGTGATGTTAATTATCTAACTGAAGTCTAATATTTAATATTATAAAATTGTACGAAAAGTTGGACAGTAATAAAGTAACTTGTTTCAAATTTTCTCTCTTCGTATTTATGTTAATTTCTCTATAAAATTTGTCTTTGATGAAATTGGTAAATGGCTATTCATTGGCAAAATTCGGACAGGGAAATAATTAAATTGCAAAGAGTAAACACGGTCAAACTCTGACCCATTTTACTATCGGGGGAAATAATTCAACGTGAGTTACGACTAAGATTGCGTGCACGAAGATCGACGTCAGGTGTAAGTCGTTGACCTAGTTTAGCTCCTATTTTAATCAACAACTTCTACAATTTCGCGTACTATATCGATCACACCTGGAAAGGTGTTACTATTGGTTCTGTATTATCCTCTGATACTTGACAATATTTACGGAAGCGTAGAATGATTAATAAAACAGCCTATTTGAAATGAATAATAAATTCCAGTTTTATCGTGACTTATTTCGTTCACAGTATTTTTTCAATTTTCTAATTCAAATCTAATGCAAAGAACTAAGTCGCATAATTTCAATGGATTTAAATTATATGAATTGCATCACGGTGAATCATGAGCTGAATGACAGAACAAGTTGATTCCAAGAATCTTAATTGAAGTTTATTAATATAATTTAAATAAATTCTTTTCTACAAAATACGAGGTATCATTTGTTTTTAGACAATTCTAAAATTATTTTTCGCGGCTGTCTCTTTAAATTTGACATTTTATGTTTAATTCGGAAATCTAAATTTAAAAAACGAAAGACTAAATCTTTTTAAAAAAAAAATTGATCTAAGTAATTTTAATATTTCCATTTATCTTTCGGGATTTTATGATTTAAAAATAATTCATGTAAAACGTCAATGATGCAATATCATAATACAATAAAAATTTGCATAAAAATTCTCATACAAGCAGCGTTTTCCATTTTAATACTCTGTTTATCATTCTGTAATGTTTTTTCTGTTAAATATCTTATTAGCATAAAATTTTTCTACCTATAATATCATACAATTTTTGAAACTTTTAATACACTTTTTAATAATTTTGAACAATGTACTTATCATTAGATTATCGTTAAATTTTTATTATAAAAATGTTCAGTAAATATCCGCTATATCGCATAAATTTTTTATTAGACAATGAAAAAAAGTTCCATCGAAACTTTTTTTTAAACGTGATTAACATATTAAGTATGTTAATTAGGCATTGAGAACCTTTTCTTTGTCATAACAACTAGTTTGTACTCGTGGGATACTTACGATTTTACAAGGTTAGGTTAGATGGTAAGCTACATGGTCACCACACAACATAACGTGTTTGGGTGTGGTTAATACCGTGGGATCTTTACTAGATCAGTAGATTTAAATTGTTTGCCATACGAGCTGGTCTATATCATTTACAAATCTTTCACAATGAAGAAAAGAAGCTTTTCCGGTAATATTGGTGTTGGTGTCTTCATCGTCGGTTTCGTGTGTGTTTGCGTTGCATTTGGTACACCAGCATGGCTAGTGAGCGACTATCGTATCTCTGGTGCAAAACTCGACAAATTAGGCCTGTGGACGCATTGCTTTAGATCACTTCCGAATCCTCAAGAAATGGACGCACCTAGACGTTTTTTCGTTGGTTGTAGATGGGTCTATGATCCCTTCACCGCAGGATACTCTGACATTCGAGGTTTTCTACTCCCTCGTGAGTGCTTCCTTTTCTCTCAATCATTTTCATTTTAATATTTATAAATTTATCAAAACGGTATGTTCTCATTTTGTGTATCATAATTATTGATTTCTTTGTTACAGCATTTATGATAGCAACACAGTTTTTCTTTACTTTGTGCTTCCTCTTGAGTATGATATCATTTATATTGATATTACTGTTCACTCTATGTTGCGATCCAGAGCAAAAACGTTATGTACAACTTATCATGACAATCGGAGGTCTATTGTTGGTTGGTGGAATAAGTGGTGGATTAGCTGTGATTATATTTGCTTCTTTGGGAAACACTGATGGCTGGATGCCTGGACATGCAAATAATTTCTTTGGCTGGTCCTTTATAATGGCAGCTGTGGGCAGCATACTAACTATTATAGCAGGAGCACTTTTCCTTGTTGAAGCAAATCTTCAACATAAGAAGAGAGAGTATTTGAAAGAATCTCAAACAAGATTTCAACTTGAATCTCGTACATGAGTTAGAATATTATTATCACATAAGACTTGCACAATATTTTAGTATCAAAATTTTGTAATATTATTCCGTCCATGTATTAAGCAGTTTTTAACGATAGTAGATTGTAAGACATGTTTTTTATTATTCTAGTACAAAGTATATTGTAAAGCAGGATTTGTATTTTTGTAAGTTTCATATATACAAGACGTGTATAAAATTGTATCAAACAGTATTGAGAAAGAGGTCTCTCTATGCTAATTTTATTACTTTTGTTGTTTGTCAACTTTGAGTATTGGCAATATATTAAGCAATTAATATATATTTAAAGCTAATTACTTTAGTGAAGAAAGAGTAATCTCAATTGCATTTAATAGAAAAATTTTCTTACAAATTACAAAAACTTGTTATAGGAAGTTGTGTAAATTTTATAATGTACACATCTACTGCCAGTGGTCAATTTATACATACAAGATTTGTATACGTATTAATTTAATTATCCGTCCTTAAATGTAAATTACGAAAAAATTGTTTTTATCTAAGCAATACATCGTTTTTTTTGTAATATATCTTTACTTCAATAAAAATAAAATTAAATGTCTAAGAGTCATTATTTCGTTATATATTATTTCGTTTTAGCTTGAGAATCACTGATCTGACTATAGGCAGAAATTCTATATAGGATGTTAACTAATCGTAAGTTATATTGTTGGCAGTACTGAAACGATGAAAGGTGTGGCAAGTTTATGTTAAACAGAATATTTTTAGTATTTATAAACAAACGATTTGTTGGCGTAGATCACTAATCTACACGCATCAACATCAAACAATCAGCATGTCTATCGATAAACAAGATTATCACCGCGCGTCAAGTAAGCAATATTATGCTTTAGACTCGTTCTAAGTGAAGAACATTCATAACCTCTGCTACTTGTTCATTATATCTTTTTAGACGCGGTAGTACTCGGTGGAGTAATTACATACATAGCTGGATTACTGTTGGTCATAGCATTTACCAGGTAATTTTCAAATGTTAAAATTTGTCACGTAATATTAATGGAATTCTTTAGGTATTATTTAACATACAATAGAATATTTTTTATACAAATATTCGTTACTTTTTAATAAGTATGTCTTCAAATATTGAATTAATTTAATTTCAGTCCCTATTGGATTGAATCTTATCAAGAGACGTTCAGCAATTTTAAACATATGGGACTTTGGGAATATTGTTTCAAACAGTTTAGATATCCATATTATCAATTTGACAAAGAATTTGATGGATGTCATCATATTTTCTCAGAAGAATATTACGTGATCAGAGAATGGTTATTGCCAGGATGGTTGATGATTGTACAAACGTTTGTGACACTTGCTCTTTTACTCTCATTTTTTGCACAAGCTTTGATTGTATTGACCTTAGTCCGTTGGCCTTTGAAATTTGTATTGAATTATGAATGGTTGCTTTCGGCCACTGCTTTCATATGTTGCATTACAACAGGTAAATAAAGTTTTTCAGTATTATAACATCAGTTGCGTAAATGTGTCTATGATCTTCAAACGATCTTTAAATTTCAGGTACTTTATTGTTTTTAGCAGTGTCAATATTTGGAGGGCAATGTTGGCGTAGAGACTGGTTAATGTATCCAAACTTCAATCATTTATCATGGTCGTATGGTTTGGCAGTTATTTCATTCATGTTCCATTGGTTAGCTTCATGTTTGTTGTATTTGGATGCAAAAGCTGGTTATAGATTGCGTAAAGAATCTCGAAATTTAGTGATGCAAATGCAGCCTAATTTACAAAGTCATCAAGGACTATCAAGAGGAGGATATATATAATCGTTCGTTATATTGATAACCAAACACGACCTTTGTTCACATAGAGATTTTTAACCATTTTCAATAACATTAATTATAAATGGAGATTCATAGATCTGCTTTCAAAATCACACCGTTATGTGATATTGTTTTATAATTCAGTGCGCGTTTTCAGCGATAATATTTAACTCCGTCCATTTCTTTACAAAAATCTATATCATTAGATTAAGAGAACTATTTTTACATTTCTATATTGTTATTTTATATACACGTATACATATATATTTAATATTAGAATATTTTAGATGTTACAAACATCTAATAACTGTGACAAAAATTATTGAAATTAAAAACTCATAAAAGTCACGTATGTCTGTAATTATATTTTTTATTGCACAGTTTTACACAGCAAACGTTAAAGCTCAAAGATATAAAATTTTATACCATATACTTTGAAAGTGCATATCTTATGAGACTAATGTCCCAATAAAAAAGTATCAAAATGAAAGTGAAAACTTATGAACTTATAAAACTATTACCTACCTGGAATTTTTGAGCATGCTGCAAGATCCAATACGTATCGTATCGTGTCCAGCGGTAGATTGCCATCGAGAACGATGAAGCTCGAGTTCTCCACGCACGATTGGTATTTCTTCACCACATCTGGACTGATACTAGCAAATACTTCCATTTCGCCGATTGAAAATTGACATTCTCCTTTGTAATTGATGATTACGGTACACCTTGAATTATCAAGCATAAAAACATATTAAATATTTAAAAAAGCAAATGAAACATAAATAGAAGAAATATTTATTTCACATTTGCACGTATAGCGACAGAAGGAGAAAATGTCTCTTCCAACGTGTGAAAGAATGAATTCAAAGATTGCAAAAGAATAACTATTGGGAATCGGTGACAAGTGGTCTCGAGTAGTATTTACGGGGTCAATGGTTGGAACGATCAGCCATTCGCTACAGAAACCAATAACCATTAATATCAATGACGAGCTTCTTACTGCCTTTAGATTCAATATTGCATAAGAATAGTTCTAATTTTTTTTTTTTAAATTATAATAAAACGAACTTTGAATTTGATAAATACAAACATTATTAACGAACATCAAGTTTTTCTTTAAGATCTACAATCGTTGAATTTAAGCAGAGAAAGAGAAAGAAGGAGAAGGAATTATGAAGAGAGAGAGAGAGAGAAAAAAAAAAGAAATCAAATTCTCTGATTTCACGTGTGTTAATCGATAAGAAACAGAACAGAAAGAAGCTGGTAATTGAAGCAGATAATTGAACGTCATACGTAGAAATCGATGATCTAGCATTCACGGCAAATTGGCGGGGGGAAAGCAACGCGTACCTAGCTGTGTTCATATTTGACAACTGCTCGATGGTCTGGGCACCATCTCCTAGACTTTTAATTATAGCTTTCCCAGGCTGGTCGTTACCAACGACAGATATTAACCGTGTAGCATTCAGACCAAGGCTGATCAAGGCGTTGGCGATATTTCGTCCGACCCCGCCGCAACTTTCTCGGCTTCTACCGGCATGCGTTCTACCATCGTCCTGAAAGAATACGTCGATTATTGATCCGGAATATAGAAAAGATGCGCCGCCTCTAATCGCGCGTCGAACACCACGGGGCTCGATTGATCGATCGTCTTTAAATTCTGCATGGTAGCGGTAAGCGATCAGAAATTAAACTTCCACCCCGTATTTTTCTTCCATTCCTCGTTGAAACGATCTCTCCCAAGGCGGAAAACGTACGGAAAAGTTCTGCTTTCCCGAGATAATGTACGCGCGGAAAAAGATAATATTTCATTTTCGAAGTAAAAAAAAAAAAAATTTTTTGAAATTGTATACATGAACGAGTTGAAAGTGAATCTTCTTTAGGGAAACTTTTATTTCGTGTATCATTCTTTTGATATGCTATAACTGTCAGTTATTTATTTTATAGTACGGTTAGACATTATAAAGTCACTTTCGATGTGATATACGTGTGGACATCACGCGTTCGAGGGATTAATTTTCTCAATGCCGAGAATAAATACCGAGAATAAAGCGGGAAATTTTTCAAGCAGTTCACTAGCTCTCTGCCTCTTTCGCACACTTTTTCTTTCTCGTTGCGACGATTCGATTACGAGACGAGCATTGTGTCCGAAGATACTTGCAATACCATCGAGCAGTAAACTGATACTCGAGATTGATGCAGCAATCCTCGCACGAAACACAATCTCCTCTCTTACTTCACCCATGTTTTATTTTTTCCGTTTTCTCTCCTTTTTTTTTTTTTTTCATCGAACGAACTTCTTTCACCCTTTTGATCATTACCTGTATACTCGTTTGCGCTTCACTTTTGTATTTACTTTTTTCACCCCTTTTTCAACGTCCTCTCATTTACTTTATTTTAATCATCTCAGCCTCTCTTAATCATCTCAGTTCGCTTCGCTTATCTTGTTCGCGCATCCTCCGTACTTTTATCTCTTCTCTTTTATCGTACGATTTTCTCGCTCCACTCTTCATAAAATTATCCTTGTTGGCTCTCGCAGCTTTTCACGGACAGCCTCTTCTCACCCTTCCATTTCCTTCCGTGAATTTCTTTACCTCCTCTTGCTGTATGTTTTTTTAATTTTCGTCGTTGTTCTTTCATCTCGTATAACTTTTTCTTTTCAAGCTCTCTCTCATCTATAGGATACCCCTCTCTTTCTTCAGGAGGTTTTTCCCCTCCTTCCGTCAACATTCTTCTCTCTTTTCTCTCCTTTCTTTATTCTATTCTATCCAAATCTTTCACCATCCCCTTCAATCTCACTATATGCCTTTCTATTCTCAAATTCTCCAAATTGACTTCTCTTTCTTTCCTTTCTTCCACTCTTCTCTCATCATGTTTTTTCGTATTCTTCAAGACATCTTTGTTATCTTTCGAGCCAAAGATAGCCATCCTCCCTTTCCCATCCGTTTCTCTTTCTTCACCCTCTTCTCATCAAAGCTTTTCCGCTTTCACGTTAACCTTCTCGGCCCGTCTCTCCAATTCTTCTTTTTCCCTTCGTCGTTACCGACGTTCTTCGCCGCCCATTTCCCTATCCTCGGGCTTTCTCCCTTCCACCAGGCCTCCCGTCTTTTTCTCACCGTCCTCCACCCCTTGGCACACGTGCCACCACAGATTTTCCACCACCGCTGGTCTTTCTCTCTCAAAGCCACGTTTCCCCTTCCTATCCACCCCTACCAATCCTCGTGCACCCCCAACTGGCTGCTCTCTCCCCTCTAGCTGTCGTTCGTTTCTCTCGCGATCCAGCTCGGTAGCAAGCCGCTGCCGCCTCTCGCGGATTTTCTCTCTCTCGTTTCGTCCCTCTCGGGTGCAGCGAGAGCCGGATCCATCGATCTCTGTCTCGTCGGTGGTCGCGCTGTCTGTCGCCGACACCGTGCAGTGCGGAGTCAGTCCGGTTGCCTACCTCGGGCGCTGTTGACAGCCACCCCCGTGCGCGAGGAACTCTTCCCGATGCCTACAGCCGCGTTATCATCGTCTCTTCCACGATAGTGGCGAGACCCCGTGACAGTGGCGAGTCTTCCTCCCGCGAGAAAACTGCCTGCATGGGCAAGCTTGCCCTACGTGGTATCGTCGTCGTCGTTGTGTATCGATCTGGATCTGTCGTTCTCACAGTGCGAGGAAGTACCGTAGAACCAAGCGGTAGGTTAGTGGTCCGTTAGGGGAATTTTACGGAATTAGTACGTGTCAGGTACAAGTGTTTCGTTCGTTTCGATGTGCGAGACGGCTGTTGCCTTGATACTCGATCAAGAGTAACGGCTAGTGGTAGGAACGTTGATAGGTGGTCGAGAGAGAAGATGACCAAGTGGACGAAGAATCGTGTAAGATCATGGTGGTGAATGGTAACGATAGCAGCAGCAGTAGCAGCAGCGGTAGAAGCAGAGGCAAACGACGGAAGCTAGCGCTTCTGGCATGAACGACGAGGACAACAGTCTCGACGAGGCTCGCGGTCGCGGCGATGCTTATAGACGTGACGTGACCAGCACGTTCGTGTCCGTCTCGCCGAACCAACGCTCGTCCAAACTGATTGATTTCACTCGTGATATCTGTGATCCCTATGATGATGTGCGCGTTCGATTGACGATTGATGGTGTGTACCGTGACAGCTTAACGCGTGTCTAAAGGTCAGTAACGAGCCATTTGACTTCCCCAAAGGTCTCCTCTCTTTCTCTTTTTCCCTCTCTCTCTCTCTCCATTTTTGCCCTTGTTCGCTCGTAGTTTGCTGGCTTTTCCCAATTTCCCGACATCAGTGTGGAGTCACGTGTGTGCAGGGCGAAAAGCCAATAATAACATCGTTGAAATATCTCCCCTGTGTCCAGTTGATTGCCTCGAGTGCCTCGAGCCTCAGAACGTCTAT